CCCCCACTGGCACTACAGCCTTTCAGCTCCCCGCAAGATTGGAATGCCAGTGCTGGCTTCCTTCAGGAGGGGGAGGATCCCACTGGATCCAGCATCCAGGGAACAAGCTCTGTCATTTTTTGGCTCCGCTTGCTGCCATTTTCCTTTCCCCGGGACACACTTCCTGGAGGCTTCCTTCTGGCAAAGGGGAGCAGTGGGAGGCCGAGTTATACGGTGCCTGTGACACAGCACAAAAACAAGTGCCTCCTACCCCTTCACGCCCAGACCCCCTACCCCCTCGCTTACACCCCCCTTGCCCCTTGCCAGACAGCCTACTCCCAGCCTGCTCCTGCATCCAACCTCCCACACAGACCTCACATCCTCACTTCTTCCTATACCCACCTCCTGCCTAGATCCATCCCTACCCCATTCACTGGCAGCCCTGTCTCACACACTTAACCCCACATTTTTGGCCCTGCCCCAGAGCCTAGGAGGTGGCCCACAAAATCCACTAACCCTGGGACCCCAGAAGAGTAAATCTGGCTGAGGCTTTGAACCTCAGTCTTCCCTGTCCCTCCCCCGATCAAGGGGCTGGAGCACCAGGGAAGTGGGTGTCTCAGTTGGGGGTTTCTGGAGGGTTTTTTTTTCTTTTTGCTTCTCACTTTTGTGGTCCCCAACAGATTTTCTGTGGATCAGTGGCCCCCAACCCAAAAAAAGGGTCCCGACACCTGCCATAAAGACAATGTTGAAACCTTTTGTGTTGGACATAATATTTTACTTTATTTAAAAATTAAGCTTGGCCAACAAGCCCCCACTTAGGGCCCAGCCGCACTTGGCAGCAGTGTGAAAACACTCTTGCTAGGGATGTAAGCGACTACTTAACTATCCGATAAGTATAAGTTTAACACGGGTGGCTCCCGGAGCTGGTACAAGCCGGGACTGCCAGCTCGAGCAAGCTCCTGGAGCTACCCCCGCTGCGGCTCTGCAGAGCAGTCCTATCAACTAATCGTATAGTCAATACAAATTGTATTGACTATATGAATAGCCTGATAACCACATTTTAACTCCTGCACACACCCCCCACAAACCCTGAGCCCATCATACACCTGAACTGCCTGCCCTAAGCCCCTCATACTCCCAAATTCCCAGACTCCTACACGCCCACATCCCCAGCCCCCTGCCATAACATTCTTGCACTCCCCCATGCCCCAGGTCATGTGTCCTGAGTCCATCATACACCCAAATCCCCTGCCCTGAGCCCCTCATACACTCCAACCCAGACTCCTGCATCCCCAGTCCCCGGCTGTAAGATTGACAGAAGACAGCCTGAATGTGAGCATGAAGCTGGATTTGACAAGTTATGATGTCAACTTCAAAGAAATGTGTGAAAAGATGCTCCAGCAGAAGTCCTACTAAATAAGGTGTATGAGTACAATGTTTCATTTATGCTGTTATTAATCATGTCAATTATCAATTATATTAAGTTGTATATTTTCAGTCAAGCAAATGCGCATTCTAGTACAGCTCTTTGTTGATCATATGTACTGAATTTTGATGTAGTTTGACTCTTTGGTTTGAAAAAGTTGTCGACCCCTGATCTAGTCACACATCATGGAAAATATTGGCCATAGGATTTCCCTGAATTAAATCTTCCTTTATGTGGTTGAACTAGAATGTGTCTGTTAGAAAAACAGCCGTTCTTAAAGTTTCCATCACAACACTGATAAGTTGTTCCAGTGGTTAATTACCCTCATTTAAATATGTACACCTTGTTTCTAGTCTGAATATATCTAAGTTTTCAGCCAATCAGTCAACTTCCAGTCATTAGAGCTTATTATACCTTTGTCTGCTAGATTAAAGAGCCCTTTACTATGAAATGTAACTATAAGTCATCCTTAGATTATTATTCTGGCTCTTCTCTGAACTCTCTCCAGTTTTTCAACATCTTTCTTAAATTGTGAACAGTGGACCCGGACACCATATTCCTGTAGGTGTTACACCAGTGGCTAATACAGAGGTCAGATGATGTCCATATTCCTACTGAATATGTCCCTGTTTTTACATCCAAGAAACACATTTGCCCTTTTTAGCCACAGCGTAGCACTGGGAGCTGATGTTCAGCTAATGAGCAACGATGGACACTCCCCCATCCTGGAAATACAGCAACATTCTTTGTTCCTAGATATGTGACCTTTCCTTCAGCCATATTAATACACAGCTTGATTACACCTAGTTTGGCAAATGATCTAGATCCCTCTAACAACAGCACATCCTCCTCATTATTTACCACTCCCCCAATCTTTGTATCATCTGAAAACTTGATCAGTAATGACTTTGTTTGCTGCCTCATCATTATACAAATATTTAGTAGCATAGAATCAAGAACAGACCTCTGAGGGATCCCACTAGAAATCATCCAATTGATCATTCTCTATTTACAATTGGGCAGAGATGCCGTTCCTAGCATCTGTTTGCCAGAAGCTGGGATTGGGCTACAGGAGATGAAACACATGATAATTACCTGTTCTGTTCATTTCCTCTTGGGCACCTGGCATTGGCCATTGCCAGAAGAAAGGATACTGGGCTAGGTGGACCTTTGGTGTGACCCAGTTTGGCTGTTCTTATGTACAAGTAGATTGAGGCCTAATCCCATTTAGTGCTTTATTGATTTTGTATCATTCTAGTTTCTTAATCAAAATGTCATATGACACCAAGTCATCTAGATTTATTACATCAACATATATTAGCACGTCTTCACCTCATGGGCACCCCCTTGTCTCATGTAGCAGATTGCAGGGATCCTTGTCTGACTCTCCCCACCCAGAGTCTCTTTTGAATCTACAGTGGCCTCTCTGTGTCTTCTCCTGACCCCCCTTCTGGGTGTTCTGGGGATTGGCCCTCCAACCAAGTCACAAAAGTTGAATCCCCTTCCCGAGCAGCAGTAGCAAGTCCAAATACAAGTCCATGAATATTTGAACTAATGGCCCTTCCACCCCCCTCATGCTTCACTGTGGTTCTCCTGTTGGCTCTACCTCAGGGTTTCTCCAGGAGAAACCCCATCTGCTAGGGTAGTTTGTTCTCTGTTATTTCCTGTCAATTAAACCTTATCTCAGGATTTCTCTCCATCAGAGAGACCTGTCTCCTAGGCAGTTTCTCTTGTCAGGAGCTCCCTCACTGTGCTTATTAGACCTAGTTCTGTCTCTTCTGGCCAGGAGGCAATTAGTTAATCACCTCCCTAGTGCAGAGCATGACTAATTGGGATTCTTTCCCTTGCTGCCTTGCCCATAATGGGGGTTAAACCCCATCACAAACTATTAATCTCAAAAAAGATACCAAATCAGTTTGAGAAGATCTATTGTCCATGTAACCCATATTGAGTATCATGGATTATATTATCCATTTAAACATTATATTAGAGCTTGCGAACAGGAACAGCTAACAGGAGAGTTTGGAGAGGGAGTTCTCCAGGTAAAAGAGGGAGTAAAAACGGGACCCTTGTGGTAAGTGGCTGTCTGAAGTATGTGTTTGTGTGTGGGGGAGTTATTTGCTGTGTGCTGAGCTTGTGTTTGTCTGTTTGGTGGTTTGTTTGATTGTTTGAAGGAGCTTCTAAAAGGTTTGAAACCTAGAAGCCTCTG